CTGCTGAAAAGTATAGTCTTTTTCTATCACCAGAAGGATCTCCTTCTGTTTATTCAGTCAGGCATCATCAATCTGTAATGTCAAGCCATACAGAAGAGCTTTTAGTCTCCAGCTGGTGATTCAAGATTTATACCACAGTGTTAAGGGGCACAAGAAAAATCAAATCACTGATCACCCTATTTGTGAGTGAAAAAATGGAGTTTATGAAAAAGAGGAGCAGTGTGCGCATCTGTCAAAAGCAGATAATTTATGCAAACACAGGTTGAAGGGAATTGGCAAGAGAATATTATATTAAACTAGTACTTATGGGCAGATGATGCTGTATTTCAGAAATATTAATTATACTTTCAATGCATGTTAACATCAAAATTAGGATTCATGTGAAATGTAGAGCCACATTACCTGTACCCATGTGCTCTGATCCAGTGACTGATACAAGTAAGTACACAAGATGAAAAAAACCAACCTACATATATTGAAATGTAATTGCTACTTGTAAGCAGTATCTTGACCTGCCTCAGTTATCATTAGTTTCAGTGTCAAAATACTTCAATTCTGATTAACATACTACATCATTGTAGGAAACTACCCTTTTTTTGAATGAGTTCCTTCTCTCTAAACATTACATTCTTAGCTCTTAATATTGCAGCTAGAACTGCTCCCGTGCCCACGTAGAACCCTAAGGATTTAGGGGTTCAAGAGGTTACTAGGAAAGAGTACTGAATGTTTCTGTCCTAAGAGAAGCCATATGGGAGGAGGATAGAAGCCATGTGACTGCAGCTGATCATAGTTTCAAGTATACTTGCTAGTTTCAAGTGTATTTGCAGGTAAGAAGAGTACTTGGCAGCCTTAGGAAACCTCAGGTATTAATGGTTAAAGTGATAAAACAAGCTGTGCCCCTGTCGTTCTTCTCACTGTTGTTCACTGCAAGTTTTTATCTGCATATGTGCTGACAGCTATAGATGTGCTAGCAGGAACCTGACAATTGTAGTAGTATACTGGAAAGCCCACCTTCATCTAGCCTGGTGCTAACATTCATATTATTACTACCCATAAAACTTAAAATCTGTATCAGTGACAGAAAATACTAGTATAGCTCTGGGTGCAGAGGGCTGACTCCATGAGGCCTTTGCTGGTATTAGCTGAGTGCTCACCAGGGCACTTCTGCTCTTAGCTACAGTCATTATAGACCGATCTATTGGGAGAAAATACTGGCTGGAGCAGATTTGGGTGAATAAAGCCAGCTGATCCCTTGGTCAGTATTAGCATAACCACAAAATCCTCCAGTACTCCTTGTCCTGTGTATGTGAAGGGAATAATACAAGGCAGTAAAACTAGTCCCCTCTTCTCTTAGGGCAGGCATTCTTAAATCACCTTTGCTTATGGAAGTCAGGAGCATAGTTTGTTTACTAACCAAAGCGTTGTTTTAGATCACTTTACTGCATTCCTCTAGGTTTGGAAGCCTGTTTGTATCAGGGTCTCTGACTTCCCAAATTCAGATTCCTCTATTCTTTTCCCTCCAGTGAAAATGATTTCTTTTTTAAATAATTGATCCTTACAGCCTTGCCAGCTGCAGCCACGTTTGAATTCCAGTCTGAAGCACCTGCTCTGCTGATTGGTGCTAGTCAGACATGCAGTGTCAAAATTATCAGACTAAAAATCAGGGGAATTCTGTTAAGGTAACTGAACCAGGCCAGGGTGAAAGCAGTCTTCCTATTTAATTATTCTGATTGGCATATGCTGTTTCTTTCTTTGCTTCCTTCTTTGGAATGACCACACAGAATTGTGTGGTACATCTTGGGAAGGGGATGGCTAAGGCCATTGTTCAGGTTTGATAAATTTAGGCAAGGGCTAGGTGCATTTTTGTATTTCACACGGAAAATGGAGTGCCTGGCATATATGTAAGCGTACATGCAAGCAAGATACATACGTAAACATTGTTGCAGTTCAAAGATTTGCTGGATCTGTATATACGTACCATTTTAGAAGGACTCTAATCCCAATTGTGTTAACTGCACATCCAGTAATTCTTGTACCAGTCACTGCAAGGTGGTTATTGAGCATTAGACCTGGAGCCAAATTTAGCTCAGTTCTAAGCTTGACTAGAATTTTCTTCATTATTTCAGAATAAACTTGATCACTCAAACTTCGGCATTGTTAATTTGAGCAATTTGGCTTAAATATGATAAAAGTTGATTTAGTCTAAGGATGTTTTTTTCTAAGTACTGCATGCAGTTTACCTCAGTCTGTTCAGAGTTCTTGTTTGAGTGTGTTGCTTTCCTGGCATGCACCAGTGCAGATGGGAGAAGGCCTGGCTGTGCAGTGAGTGAGGAAATATTGGAGTTTTGTTGAAGTCTATGCCAAATAGAGTTGACCTTTACAGTTCAACAGATGTCCAGCAGACACCTGCAGAAGACAAAGGATAAATGGAACTTTCCTTTTCAAGTACTTGCCAAAGCTACTTTAAAAAGTAACAATTGTGTTGGAGTTACAGTTTTAATGATGCCAGAAAGCTGCAAAGAACCGTGGCATACTGAGGATTCCTGTGTTTTCAGCTAGGGAAGGTGACATATGGAAGCCTTATTGGATTTTTTACTTTCCTGTAACAATTAGTCAAGTTATTGTTACCCTTTTGGCACCTCTGCACTGCCCTAGTTGTGAAGGGTTTAATTTTACTTTCAAAACAAACTATAATGCTAGTAACACTTGGTCACTTTATCTTTTCAATCTTTAATTCCTTTCTTTTCTTAACACAGGGCCACGACGCACAGTGATTTAGTACTGCGTGCAGTAAAACTGGGGATTCCATACAAGGTCATTCATAACGCTTCAATAATGAATGCAGTGGGCTGCTGTGGTTTACAGGTAACATTTTTGTAGATATGCTATTCCACAACTGCTAAACTTAGAATTGGTGAGCTCTTCTACTGCTGTAGCAGTGCATGTTGCAATCTGAAGTTTGAAGATCTGTAGCAACTGTACATTTCTGTTGTCAGAATTCGTTAACACTTCCTTTTCAGCATACTACATGTCAGCAAAAGTCCCTTTTGATGAGTGCATGTGCAAATTAATAGTAACGCTTCTATTCTCTGCTCTCTAACTTCCCTCTGCCCCAGGAGACTTTGATATTTAAGTTATTTTACAGATAAAGCTTTGCTCATGTTGGCTTACTTCTACTACTGACCTGGTCACTTGGTAAGTTTATTCTTAAATTAGGTTGTTATCCTGTTGAGAAATACGCTGATCTTGTCATAAAAGGAATTAATGCACAGGCCTGTCTATATGTCCAACTCGGATCATAGCTAATTCCCAAATCTTGTATATGATGCATTCTTTCTGCCCGTCTGCCAAGAGAGGAGGGATTTGCCTAGTCAAGGACTAGAGGAACAAATGACAGTTTTTGTGCTTCTTGAATGGCTACAGTAGAAAAGGTCTAGCATCCCCCAAGAAAATAATTGACTACTTCCTTTTACACATGTATAGGTCCATTATTACTTTTCCTGCATGAAAAATATTATGGCAGTGTATGTATCATAACTAATCACATACAAATTAGTTGAAGCTTCCCCCTCTTGTTTTCATTCATTACTTTAACACAGAACCTTCCCTCTCAAGGTTCAGAATGGTTCCGTGTCTATGGGAACCCCTAAACCAAAGTCCCACTTTACCAAAACCAAAAGCAGGCACAGGAATGTAAGTGTACAACAGACGAGAGTTGAGGGTTTGAACAATAAGTTTTCTTCACTGAAGGAAGAAGCATTCCTTCCCAGCTTAACATAAAAGAACACAATTTTTTTTATTTCAACAAACAACTGACACCTTCAAATTTACACTGACAAACTCTAACAGCCTTATTTCAGTGCTGCCCAGCAGCAAAAAATCTGTTGCAATAAGTTGGGTATTATTTCTGGCTTTGATCACATCTGAATGGTTCAGAAATGTGGGAGCCCTGTCTGATCCGGCAGTTCAGCAACACCGCATTGACATCTGTTCCGAGATGTGAATGCTAATGCTAAAGGGAATGCAGCACAGGATTCACATTCTTTATAATTCTTCCCGTGAGCACTTTCTTAGTGATACCTGCCTATTGCTGTAAGACTTGGGCAAAATTATCTTTTAGGAAGGAAATAGGCTTCTTGGTGTCTAAAATCTACATGTACAGCAGACAGATGGCAGCTGTCGCATGACTGCACTTACTGGGGCGGGTAACACAAGAGTTGAGGTTGGTTCCCCTTTTGGCTTCATGGTGGTGCAAAGTTTGCTTCTGCTGTCAAGCTGTTGCCAAGTAGTTTCTATTACCTGCTATCTTTTTACTGTTCTTTTACATTCATTAGGAAGGAAGATGCAAGGCTCGTATTCCCAAAGAGAACAGGTGATGAAGTTTTCTGAAAGTTTGCTTCCCCCACAACTCCAGCTGGGTGCAGGAAGGAGTATAGAGCTTCTAGGTTAACGGAAACAAAGAGCAGAAAACTAACTGGGAATATATTGCAAACAGTTCATAAGGTTTTTCACATATGCAGAGTTTTGGAGATAAGTTTACTATTTCCTTATCCCATGCTGAAGGGAACAGACCGTGAAGGAAATGTGATGTTATTCACTCTGGCATTAGTCGCCATTTCCATTCCGGCTTGGGAGGGGCTGCCTTCTCATAAGTCAACATTCCTGTTGTTGTATAAAGCGTTTTAGGAAATAGTGATCATATTGTATTACCGGACAGACTATAACCAGCTGTATGTTTAACTCTTCATCGCTCCATACAGGCATAAACAGCAAGTGAGGGGTATCTTACAAAAAAAGCAGCCTGTGATTTAATTAGAGTTGCGGTGGAAGTTTATAATTTCTTTCAACAGTCTTTACGTTCATGGCTGTCTCCTGCCATCAATTTATTTTTGGAGTTATTGTGTTTCAAACTGCAAAGTTGCTGTCAAGTATACCAGGGATTCCTCTTTTGCTTCACCACAGAAAAGGCTTGGCTTTTTTTCTTCTTTTAATCTGATTGTGATACAAAACCTCTTTCTTTCTTACTAGAGAAAAACAGGAAACACCTTTATACGCTGTTCTGAAAGCCATGTGCGTAGTGAGCTGTAACTGCTGATTAGGCCCTCAGTAAAATGCAGCTACAGCCCAGTCTGTTCACAAAAGAACATGTCTCTTGTCATCAGAGCAATGTTTCTGGGCAGCCAACAACATTCTGGTAGTTGCGCAGTTTTCCTGTACAGTAGTGAGTTACTGAAGTCAGTAGAGCATTAGTGATGGTTTGTCACCTTCAATTCATAGATACATTTCTTGCCAAATTGTAAAGAAGGGTGAATATCTATTTTCAATTTTTTTTTTCCAACTGTCTTGCCCATTTACCAGAATCAGTGCAGCTGTTTTGAAGGCTGCACAGGTGAAGACTATTTGTACAAAGAACAGGTTGGGTTTTTTTTTAGTTTTGAAAATTAAACTTTCTGAACTTCTAGGAAGCTCTCACAGATTGATACAATGAGCTATAGCTATTGAACACAAGAGGATAGTATAACTTAGCAAAGTATTAGTCTGACTGGGCATAAGGCTCTATGACTTGCTGTCGCTCCCTCTTTTACACTGTTCTTGCTGTGCCTCATTGTGTCAGATTTTTTTTTTTTTCAAGGCTGAAGAACATCTTTTCTCTCAAAAACGAATACGGCCTGGGGGGGAGAAGCCAGGAAAAGTGCCTGTGTATGAGTGCCTCTTAGCACGTTCTCTGCAGGTTCACCATTCTTGTCTGGAATCTGACATGTAGGTATGTTGATCACTCTGACTCCTGTTGTAGAGGGGAACAACCACCAGTGAGGAAAGTCACGCAGTTTCATATCTATGCACACTGCCAGGGAAGTCAGTGAGAGGGGACAGAAGTCCCCAGGGGAAGGCCAAAATTCCCAGAGAGCACTTCTAGTGGGTGGTAACTAGTGAGACAGTACAGCTTTCCTCATCAGCAGCTGCCCTGTAGTTCCGTAGCTTTGGAAAGCTTAGTTTTTTAGGTAACAGGCTTACCTCTATTCTACCACTGCTCAGCTGCCCTGTGAGCAAGACATTGCCTTGGCTCTATCCCACCAGGATTCAGCATTGCAAGCTGAGAACAAAGGGAGAGCCTAGCTTGACTTCCATGGCTTTATCTGTAGCCATACTCAGTTTTTCAGAATATGGCTGATTGCTAAGGCTTTTAGCCCTAGAATAAAGAGGCAGAAAACTCAGGATCTCTAATTTATACCTTTTACCTTCCTTCCTTATCTGCATGATATCTGGGTTAGTTTGGGAAGGTCACTGGCCAGAGCGGTGCTCTCAGGACAGAATTCTCTGTCCCAGTTCTGATAATGTATCTTGGAGGTAGCGATATGGATGGTCAAACACATGAGGAAGACTCTGCGTCATACTGACCTGTGATGCACGTGAAAGAATGATGCAACTTGAAATGGCTCGAGATAATGGCATTACTGTAAAAAAAGAGGATGGAGAACTAAAGTGCAAAGCTGGAGGCAAGCCATGGGATGAGACAAAAGGCTAAAATGAGCCACTCATTTCTGGGAGAGTGGTGGTGCTAGTTTTGAAAGCATTTACTTTACATTTTGGTAGGGTAGGTAGGAAAAAAACATGTCATGGCAAAGACCTGCCTTTCTTTTGAGACATACCCACTTTCCACCTGAATAGCTTCAGAACAAACATCTGCATGTCCCCTTGTTTCTTTCAGTAACTTATCTTGATTTTTTTTGTTTGCAGTCCAGTTAATTCTTGTAAGACAATTACGATCATAAAATAGTTTTGTCTTTTTGCTACTAGCTGGTCACTTAAATGCGAAAGCAGTGCTTACTATGTTATTTTTGAGTCTTTACTGAGCAGGTGAATACATTTTCAGTGTCAAGTAGAAAAATATTATTTATAGATAAGGAAGCTGAAGGATGCTATCATTACTCGCTGTGCTCATAGTCAAATAGAAAACCTGTAGTAGCTGCAGGAGCGGAACCTGAGTTCCACCCTCTCTCTGTGCCCTAATCTTCAAAAATACTCTTTGCTCTAATAGGAGGGGCTCTACACAAAATGTTTTTTATTCACTGACAGTTAAAACAAACTGTTTTCCATCACTGGTTGGTTTTCTCGCTTACTACCAGCTTCTGAGCCTTTTAGAAGTTGGTGTTTGTTTCTCAAACCGCTTAAAGGTTAAATCAGTGCTAGTCACACTACTTCATTACTCACAATTGCTCTTCAACTTAGTGCCATTTGTCACCAGCAAACACGACCCAGAAACATCCATTTAATCAGAATGGATTTTTTCTCCATTTAGATATCTTCGTGACCAGGGTGGGAAGGAATCATTGTTTGATATTGCTGGGAAGAGTCTTAGGAGGTTATTAAAGATATGGTGACATTACCTTGGAGGGAAAATCCTGTTCTCTTCAAGTTTGCTTGGAGTTTCTGAGTCTTTTGATAGCTGAATTAGTGTTCTGCTTGTGGAGTGGCTATTTCCTAAGTGCTGATGCAGAAGGCAGCCAAGAGAAAAATGTATTCTTCCCTTCAGCTGCTTTTCTGTGATTTGTCTCAGCTGCCTCCTGAAGACTGCAATCATGTGGAGTGGGCTTCCCTCAGCCAGACATCCTTTTCTTCACAATTCCTTTCTCTCTGGCACATGCTAAGGGGACTGGAGGTTTTTGGGACAGCTGAGCCAATCTGTTGACTTGCAGTACAAAAAGGAGTCATAGCCCTGTGTGTGTGAATAGTAAAAACTTTCAATTCCATGTGAAGGTTCTCAGGAAAGGCATTCAAAGTTGCTAAAGGTCTGTGGTACTAAACGAGATAGTGTAAAGGGCTAGAGCTAGGCTTGTGGTTGTTTCATAGGACCAATTACAAGC